GCAAACCCCATCAACAGATCCTAAAACTAGTGGGTAAAAATGGAGATGAAAAATGAGATTCTACACAGCCTGAAAATATGTCCCCATTGAATCTTTATTAACTGCAGAGGGGAGAAGGCATCGAGGAGAACCCCGCAGAAATGATACAAAGGGTGCCTCCCCGTGACCGCACTCGGGCAGTGCATGCCATGCGCAGGTCCCGATGGAAAGAACGGTTACAGCCTCCGTGACGTTCTGGGGCAAAAATGCGTAACTGGGGTCTAGTTGGGAGGAAACACCAAACTCTTATTAAGGGGTGTCTGCAACACGACTGGTCCATAATCCTCAAAAACGATCAGGGCGGGGCACCTGGGTGGCTCAGTGGGTTAAAGCCTCTGCCTTCGGCTCAGGTCATGATCCCGGGGTTCTGGGATCGAGCCCCGCGTCGGGCTCTCTGCTCAGCGGGGAGCCTGCTTCCTCCTCTCTCTCTGTCTGCTTCTCTGCCTACTTGTGATCTCTGTCTGTCAAATAAATAAATTAAAAAAAAAAATTAAAAAAAAAAAAAAACTATCAGGGCTATGAACGTCTAAGAAACCCTGAGAAATATTCCAAACTGAGGGAGGCGAGAGGACTGGGCTGTCTGAGCACGGGGGACGGTGACACCACGTGAGAGGAAAACGAGGCTGCTCCTGGTTTACCGACACCTGCATAGGCACGTGCAGGCAGTACTACAACCCACCGGCAGTAGCTGGTCACAGCTCTCGGGGCTCTGTGGTTGGCGGATGAGTTTATCCGGACAATCCACCACCTCCGGGTGATCTAATGGGCGCTGTGGCCGGGCCAGGGACACACGCCGCCTGCCACACCCCCGAAACAATGACAGCCGCACAAGAGTGTGCCGCATTTGCAAAACGCGTGGGGCTCTTCCGTCTGAGCCCGGCCATCTGAACGCCTCCGTTCTTCCCCGGGCTTACTGAGAACAGTTTAAAATTTTAAAATACGCTCTGGGTCTCTGAGCAGCTGAATCGGGGCCTGGGGGTACACGCAGAGAGACTCGGCAAGGTTCTCCCAGTGTTAGCTGAGGAGTGGCTGGGTGCTGGGTGCTGCTGCTGCGTCCGGCAAGATTTCTTCACTGTTTTTCTGAGACTCAACACACACCCCCTTCCCCCTGCCTGGCCCTGGAAGCGCCCAGGTGAGAACAGTCCTGCCCTAGAACACATCTGGGTAGACCAGAAGGTGGTGAGGGGGTGACAGGGCTCTTTGGGGTTTCGTGGGAACAGAGCTGGGGTGAGGAGCAGGTGGACAGGGGTCGGAAGAGTGTCCTGGAAATGATCTAGCCCGCGTCGATGGGAGCAAAGACATTCTGCTGGGCAGAATGCAGGGGCAGGGACGACGCACTGGCCAGGGGACCCTACCTTGGAGGATGGGGGCTGATGGCCCGTCACAGGGCACCCAGGCTTTAAAGTGCTCCTGTGACAGCTCGGGGAGGCTCGCCCTCCAGACACACGCCGGGGATGAGGAATTCCTGCCGCTCAACCGTCCCAGCTCGTGGAGCTCACGTGCTCAGCGGGGCCGAGGGAGCCTCTAGCCGGGGAACACATCACGTGCTGGAGATGTGATTTGACCACCACAGCCATTTACGGTCCTGAGTGTGTGCCTAAGACTGGGGAGGACGCCACAGGACCGCGACAGGCCCATGAAAAGGCTGCAATTACCACAAAGGAAAAGGCCCAGAAAAACATTTTCAACAAAACAGCGTCTGGTGGCCATCAGGGTAACAGGTCGCACGGATTATAACAAGATCATATTTTTTGTTGGGGTGCCGTGCGATCACAGAACCGTTAGCTAGAGGCCCCCAAGATGGGTCTAGGGGGTCAGGCGAGGAAGAGAGCCCGAGACCAGCCCCTTCCCTGCCTGCGGTCAGCGTGGTGGTGGTCATTAGAGATGGCTGCGGCTTGGCTCTCCGTCCCGGGGAAAGCTGGCAACACAGAAGCCGTCTGCCCCGGGATCACGGAAGGGGCTGGTTAGGGTGACCTGGAGGCCGTGAAAATCAGGCAATAAAACTAGATTATCAATTGCTATGCTGAAGCGTCAATGTGGGGTAATTAACCCCATTCGGTGCCCCCACGACTGTTTTCAAACTAATGCGACCAATAAAGCAAGAGGTGGGTGGGTGAGGTCGTCGCTTACGTGAGGTTCTAGCCATCACGTATCTGTGGCGGCCGGGCGACCGACCTGTGACCGCAAACCCGGTTATCCAAGCAAGCTGGACGCGCTGGGGACACAGCACCTCACCCGGCTCTCAGGGGCTACTCCCCAGATCCCCCCACAGCGGCTCCCTCTTTACTCTCAGAAGTGTACACGCTACTCCCCGTTGTTACCAACGTCCGAAACACAGCAATGAGACCACGACTCCAAACAAAATACAGTACAAATTTATTGACTCCAATCATTCGTAGTCAAGATGTAAGCAAAGGAAACGGACAACAGAATTGGATACAAATAAGCCATGGTTTAACGTTAGATAGAAACCCTATCGGACCAGGAGTTTTCAGTTCCCAAAAGCTCATTCCTAAATAAAACCAAACAATGATTTAGTCTGCTAAGGCATCTGACAAAATATACACAATCTGTTTATAACCACATTTGTTTAATAGTAAGCGCTACTCAATGAAAAGTTTTAAGGTATTGGATTAATGTCAATAAGAAATTATCCCCAGTTGAAAATCAACATTAACCAAGTGTAACTTTGTGGAAAATCTGACAACAGCACTAATAAATGACTAGAGAGCACTCAGTTCAATTATTTTCAAGATTTACAGTAAAATACTTTGGTTCCCAAACACCGGTCTCTGGAATTCCTGAAAACCCGGACACCGCCCCACGCCCCCGCCTCCGGGACGTAAACGCGACGGGCCAGGGTCCCCCACCACGCAGAAGCGAACGTGGAGAAGCGCTGAACAAGCACGTTAACCATGATGGGAACATAAAACTTCTTAAAGTGCTAAAGCCACAAAAGAAAACCCTATTTTTTTTTAAACTTTAAAAAAAAAAAAGCCAGTGTTAAAGAACTTATTAAATGTACTAGCATTATTTAAATAACTTTTCACAATTACTACAAAAAACATCAATGAGAAATCAGAAATTGACAAAGCGGACTTGTAATATCCCAATATGAATTAGTGCAATTTATCAAGAAACCTGCTATGCATGACATTTAATTGTTTTTGTGGTGAGAAAATTCAAATGCCTTTAATTCCTATGGTTCTGGATTCTGGTTGTACACACACACACACACACACACACACACACACACACACAGTGGATTCTCCTGTCTCCCTCCCCGGGACGGGCCACTGGCCTGCAGAGGAAGATACCCCCTGCCTCCAGAGAAGGGCACATTTTATTCTGGTCGTCCAGCTTCTCCGCTCGTCAGCACCTGCGGGTGCGTGCGTGGGTAAGACCAGCACTGACTGACAGGAACTGGAGCATGTTTTTTAAAAGGCTGTTAGGGATCCGCTCCAGAACGGAAACCGAGAACCACACACCTGTCCCCCGCAGATGCAAAAGTGACATCATGGTTCAATTCTTAGAGATTTTGATAAAACAATAAATGCACCCTAGCCATAACTAGTTTTAAAGGTGAATATTCTGTTAAGTTGAAATATTACTATAAAAAATGCACACTATTTGTAACCTCCATTGCTGACTTAGATAAAAAGGTGTTTTAGGTTTTTCCTCTTCCCCTCTCCCACACGAAGAAAATGATTCAATATCGAGTTCTCAGATTAACAAAGAATATATTAAAACATCTTACATTCTTTTCCACAACTGCATAAAAAAAGGCAGCCTGAATACTTACAAGGAATAATGAGATTTCTACATTTTCAAAAATTAATTCTAATCAGAAAAAAATGTTTTCGAGAATACCTTTACAAGCCGGAGTCCTAACAATGAAAGACCAACCTGTCTCACAGACCGAGGGTCTGCCCGCTGTGTGAGATCGACATTCTTAAACGGAGTGATGTGTGTCTTTCATTATTTTACTTCCGAACATCTAAAATAGTTACATGAGCGGAAGCCTATTTTCTTTATTGACCACCAAAATAAACTCTTTTAGCCTGACGCTTTGAAGGTAGAGTATAAAAAGTAATAGAAAAACCAGAACTGCATTATAAATGTTTTTGGCTCAAAATTTTATTTGAAATCTTAACGCTCCTTGCCTAGACAAAAACGTGAAAACGAACGAGACAAAACACTGGCGATTTTCAAAATCTAACAGATAAGCTGAGCCTGTATTTAGATCAAAAATATTTTTTTTACTGATTAACATTATTAAAAAATCTTCAAAAACGTAGCATAAAGGTTCAAGTCCTGGGATACTGGATTTACAATGCCAAGATCACGTGTGCCGTGGAATTATCGCACACGGTCTGACGGCCAGAAGCAAGGACTACTCTGAGGGAGACTGTCTTTTCGAAGAAGTGACGGCTGCCAAGGTGTTCAGAGTAAGAAAACAGCACATTATGCAGGGAATTAAGTCAATGAACAATAACCCACCCAGATGTTTCTCGAAACATCACACGCTTTAGTTTCATCTTTAAAATGCATAGATTTCTTCAAGAAAATATAAAGAGGGCAGTAAGTGGTTACTGCAGCTTCGTTTTCTTTTCCTTTCTCCAGCAAATTTAGGTAAGAACAAAATTAGGAAGGGGCCACTCAGATATTTTGTGACTTGTGATAGTTTTCACATGAAAACAACAAAAGGCAAAATTTCACACGCGAGTTCTCTGATCTGCAAAGCCAGTCGGCATTTTATGAAAATGCTTGCATTTCGATCAGAAGTTGAGAATGTCTTTACTACCGCTGGTGTGGGATGTGGGTGACAGGACAGACGAGTACGGAGCTCTTTTCTGCTACAGCGGTACACACTGAAGTACTCAGCAAATTATTTCTTAGTCATAGTAAATTTTTTTTTTTTGAAAAAAAACCTTTCAAAAAAAAAAAATAAAAAAAAAAAGAACTTAATAAACTTGGGAGCCTTCATCCGTAGTACTGCCTTGGAAAGATTTTGCAGCTTCAACAGTATCTCCCCTTGTTCATACCTAACCCCTCGCCTGTACGAGTGAAACAGAGTCTTCCCTTTAGAAATACCCGCTGAGCTCTGGGTAACGCCTACAAGCACCTTTTAATTACAACTTATACAAACTAGAAAAAAAAAAAAGACAGCCCACACCCTATGGGCCGAAACAGGTAGCAAAACTCATTTTGGACCCTCGATAGTGCTTTGACACAGATTTACGAAACGCTGAAGCAGGGACTTGGAGCAGGATGGCCGCGCTAAGGACATCTCACCACAACGAACTCCAGCAAATCCTAACAGAACGGAGGCAGGAAATGGAACACTACGAACAGTGGTCTTGAGAGTGCGTGGAGACCCTGCGTGGCGTTTTCCCCCGGGGCCCATCTTGGGGATTCCGTGCTGACTTGGGACTCAAGCAGATGTCCTGACTGGGGGCGTGGGACCGAGGGACCTAAGCGTATGTCCCAACCTTCACTGTTCCTCTAACACAGTTCAACTCAAAAGGAGTGCGTGCCTCACGCTACCTTTGTTGTCTGTTCCTGACGCACTCAGATGTCCCCACTGGTGACAGCATGAACTGGAGGTGACCGAACCCGCCCAGCCCTTCCAGCACCAGTCAGAGCTGAGACCGGAGGCCCACACCCATGGCACAGTGGTCGCGATGACCACGCCTGTCGCCACGGAAGCTTTTGTAAACGGGCTTGAAGGCCTTCCAGAAACCCTCACGTTTTCATTTCCCAAATCTTCCATCGTGAGTTATCGTAAATGACCCAAGAGCAAGCTTTTGTTACTTTATAAAAATCTAAATATTACTATTGCTAATTTAAATTTCTCACCGTTTTCATACAAAAAATTTTTTTACAGGACCACAAAATACCAAATATTTATTGTTATCAAGTGTCAGGATAACTTATTAATAAAGTTGAGGCTTATCATTGTTTTATTGCTAAAGTACCCTAAGATCTAACTCGAGACCGCCAACTACACTCACTTGCTCCTGACCCGCCGTGGCCGTCGGAACGTGGCCGAGATTGAATAAGAACTTAGGCGTCTGACAGCATCGAAAGAAATACTTGAACCGCATTTCACTGAGAATCAGTAAAAACCAAGACCACCTCCGGGGGAAGATTACACTGACGCCGTGGAACGAGGAACCATGCAGACAGGTGAGATCAGTCAAACTGCAACAGGAATGAAGTCCAATCATCCCGGGACGGAAAGGTCCGACGCACGACAGACTTTAGTCTTCCTAGGCTGAGTGAGGACATCATCACTAATTAGTACCAATTTCCCTCCCCACTTCTATTCAAGCGTAACAATTTCCAAGCTTTATTATTCTCTTTTGAAAAATATCTCGCTTCTGATGCATGTTTCCCAATTAAGGTCGCACTCTGGAGACCACCGCCCCTTCCGCGACAGGTGAGGAGGGCCGGCCTTTCAGTTGTGGCTTTGTTCGTGACTCCAGAGGCTGAAAGCCGTCTTGAATGTCCTGTGGCACAGTTTACACATGAACTGTCTCTTAAAGGTGATCGCAGAAAGGGGGGGTGCGTGGTAGAAGAGCGTGTCGGACTCCTGGGGCACGAACAGCTTCTCTGCGGCGGGCGCGGGGTTTTCGGCCACACCCGTGGGGCTGTCGGGCTCCAGGGGCTGGATCTTGGGCAGCGGCGGCGGCGGGGGCAGCGGGGGCGGGGACGGAGAGTTTGTGGGCAAGGGGCAGGCCTCCGAGTCCTTATGCGCCGAGTCCTCCGTGGCCTGAGACATGTGCGACTGGAAGTGGCTCCAGAGCCGGAAGTTGGTGCGGAAGGCTTTGTTGCACACGTGGCAGATGAAGGGCTTCACGGAGCATAGCAGCTCCTGGTGCCGCTCCAGCTGCTTGTGCGCCGTGAACGTCTTGCCGCACTTCTCGCAGGGCCACAGGCTGGCGTCCTTGCTGGAGCCGGCATCCTTGGGGGCGGCGCGGGCCTCGGGCGCCTCCTCCTCGGCCTCCTCGGTGGGCTCCTCCTTGACGTGGATCTTGAGCTGCCTGGAGAGGCTGAGGTCTTCGGGCAGACAGGAGGAGTCCTCCGAGTCGAAGTTCACCTGCTCTGAGCAGTCGCTGAAGGTGTTGTCGTCTTTGGCAGTGACCGCGTGGTTGGCCCTGTGGGGCTCGGGCTGCGCCGGGGGCCTGGCGGCGGCCGTCGCATCCCCGTTGTGCTCCAGGACAGGCAAGGAGAAGTTCTCGGCCGGCGCCATGGTGTTCTGGTTATGGACCTCGACCTGGTGCCGCCAGATGCTGAAGGAGGACTTGAAGGTGCGCATGCACTCGAGGCACGTCAGCTTCTTGTACTCACACCTCCCCTCGTGCTCCTGCTTCAGCTCGGGCGAGAAAAACCTAAGGCTGCAGTAGGGGCAAACGGTGGCGTTCCTGCACAACCGCTCGTGGTTTCCTTGCTCTAGAAGAGAAGAGAGCTTAGCATTACAGAGGCGGCACTGGTAAACCTCCTTGTTCTCTACCGGCCTCTCAAGAGAGACGTGCTCTCTGGGCTTGGTGGCCCTACTGACGCCAACGGGCTTCTCTCCCGGGTGCATTTTTATGTGCTGCTTGAACTGCGAGAGGAAGCGATAGGCTTTTCCGCAGTACGAACAGACGTACGCTCCTTTGGCTCGCGACCGCAGGTTCCTCTTGATGGCCTGGGCCTGGGAGCTACTCTGGCCCTGAAAGCCAGGCTTGCCGCGCCTCAGCTTAATGATCAGGGCCTTCTTAATCTCTCTCTCGCGCACTATGTCAATCAGCTTCCTTTGGAATTTCTCATCCAAAACGGCATGTGAACTAGAGGCCGGTGACGGGTTCTTCACTATGCCGTGCTGGGTCTGACAGTGCGTCCACACTTTGAAGTTGGTGTGAAACCGCTTGTGACAGATGTCGCAAGCGTAGGGCTTCTCTGGGTTATGGTACATGTTAACGTGCCGGTGAAGACCCGCCGTCGATCTAAAGATCTTAAGGCAGTGTTTGCACTTAAATTTTTTGTTGGGTCTTGTTCCCTCCAACTCACCAAATTCATCTTTGTTCAAGTCAGAATCTGGAAACTCTGCATCGGGGAGGGGAGGGCTGGAGCCCTCCTCGAAGTTGTCTTCGGACACCGGAGACCCGTGCTCGTCCTCCTTCACCTTCTTCAGCGGCAGCCTCCGGTCCGCCTGGAACCTTCTTTTTGCCGGGAGCCTGCTCATGTCCTTCTGGTCATCTTCGGTTTTCAGGGAGAGGTCCCTGGCGGCGGCGGCGGCCGGGTCTCCCACGGTGACGCGGATGATGTCGGAGGGGTCGGACAGCGGACTGCGGGGCTCCGTCTTGATGCGGACCTCGGTCACGGCCAGCTCGCCCTCCCTGTCCGTGGACTGCGAGGCGCTGAACGACCTGAGGCGGTGCGGCTGGGGCGCGGGGCTCCGCTCGTCGACGGCCGCCTTCTCCCCGCACTCCTTCAGAGATGACTTCTGAGACAGGGCACAGAACACGCTCCCCGGCACCTCGCCTGCCCCAGAAGAGGGCCGCTGGGAAGACTTGAGCTCTATGGCGGGCGAGTAGACGGGCACCTGGCTGTCCATGGACAACGAGCGTCTGAGCAGACTCTTGACGAGCGGGCCGCTCCTGTCGATGCCGGGCTTCCCGGGCGCCGCGCCGCCGGACGGGACCACCAGCCCCAGCTTGGAGTAGTACAGCAGGTTCCTGTCCTCGCCCTGACCCCCTCCTTTGTGCGTCTCCTTCAGCACGTAGGGGGTCTCCGACGTGCTTCCGAGGGACAACACCGGCGGCCGCGGTCTCTTCAGAGCCAGCTCGATGGCTTTGCCTTTGGGAAGTTTATCGTCCGCGGCCTCCCTGTCCTGCGGGGGCCTGGAAGACAGCGGCGCGCTCCGCGTCCCCAGCCCGCCTCTGCCGGGGTCCTCCAGAGGCCCCGCGCGCTCCGCCACCTTCGCGAAGCCCACAGAGCCGTCTCTCGGCCAGCCCTTCTCGGCCAGCGGCGAGCCGGGCAGCGGCTCGGCCGGTTTGGGGACGTGGGGCTTACCGGGGCCGGTCTTGACGGCGGTGCTCGGGGAGGGCCGGGCCGGGTGGCTTAGGTCGGGCTGGTTCTGACTCCCGGTTCTTCCCTGGGCTTCGTTTCTACTCTGGCAGACGATGACGCTTCTCTTCTGAGAACTGCTTTCATCGTCCTCGATGGATACTTTCCTCCTGTTGGGACACGTCGGAAAGGGGGCCTGGGGGGTCCTGGAGACGATGTTGGTCAGGAAGGAAATGCCGAGGCTGTAGCCGAGCTCCTGCACGGCCGCCAGACTGCTCTTCTCGACGAACAGGGACGAGGAGTAAATGTAGTTCAGGACGTTATCGAAAGCGTCCGGCTCGCAGAAGTCCAGCTGGAAGACGGTCTGGGACTCGTTGTCCTTGCTGGTGAATAAGGTCTGGAAGTACTCGCTGCTGGCGGCCAGGACGTTTTTGTGCGCTCGGAACTTCTGGTCGCCCACGATCAGGAGCACGTCGCACAGCTGTCCCTTGAGGCGCTCCTCGTTGAGGGCGCTCAGCAGGGAGATGGCGTGGGCCGGGTTGATGTAGTGCAGCAGCCCCTCCATCGCGGGCGCCCACCTGCAACACAAAGCGCACGGTTACTGGGGAAACGCGGCCGAGAGCTCTCCGCGGGACGGGGCGCTCCTCCCCGGCGGGACCCTAGCGGCGCTCCCGAGGACGAACGGGCTTACTTCGACAGCACGAGGAGCGGCCGCGGAGGGGCTCGGGGCTGGCGGGGCGCGCCGGTCACTGGTTGAGCGGCTCTGGGACGGAGGATCGCAGCTCCGGTGCCCTCATACCAGCGGGGGGCTGCTGGGCCTCAGCGGCTGGGCGGAAGCACGGTTTGCAAGGAAAGGTCTGCTCGTTAGGGGTCTCATCCGTTCGAGGCTTGGTTCTAGCCCTTTCTCTTCGGAGAGGAAGCACGAAGAGCCAGAGCTGCTGAGGCCGTGATTCTGAAAGGAAGTCAGTCTTATCGCGGGAGGCACTTATCCACCATGTGAACTGTGACCCCTGGGTTGCGGGGGGCGGGGGGGTGTCTCACCAGACCTTTAAAAACATGGAAGAATCTGGAAAGAGAAAGAATTTCACTTACAGATCACTCACGCATCACAGGGTTTAGCCAAGGTCAGAATGTTCAGCACCGGAGAGCCTGGTTGCTTTCTCATGCTAACCCTGCAACCCCGAGTGCTGTTTTCTTACCAGTTCCCGTTTCCCGCGACAGCAGAGGGAACTGTGTCCCGATCTAAACACAATTACTGCTCCTTGCAAATTAAGGGTCTGAAATGAGATGTCACTGTCGTTCTCTTCCAGTCTAAAGATGAGACGGGAAGGCCTGGTGGATGGTGCAGGCCCGGGCACAGGCGCCAGGGTGAGAGGCTGCCGCCTTCCCCGCTGAGTACCATGCCCCTCGCGTGAAACGGGTGGGACGACTGTGCCCTCCTTTAGCCTTGGTGCAAAGGGTGGCTGGGCTAGCATCTCATACAAGGCAAACATTTAATTCGGTATCAAAGAAAAAGGTCCCTATTAATGCCACCCATGCTCTCAACAAAGGGAAAGCCATTTCCCACACAGACAATCGCAGACTCTCCAAAGCCGACCCTTCACTCGGGCTTCTGTTACTAGAACACCTCATCTCTGCTTTGACTATAGCGTCTTCTTTAAAACAGTTATGACATTTGGGGCACTGGGGGGGCTCAGTCGGTTGAGCATCCAGTTCTTGATTTTGGCTCTGGTCACGATCTCAGTGTCGTGGGATCGAGCCCCAGGTCCCGCTCTGCACTGGGTGTGGAGCCTGCCTGAGATTCCCTCTCTATCCCTCTGGCTCTCCCTGCTCTAAAAATATAATAAAATAAAATAGTTACAACATTTATTTTTGAATGGATTCAAAGTAATTAAGTCTGCTGGTGGCAGTTTCCTCATTCTCCAGAGGGCAGGCGGTAAATGTACCAAACTCGGCACCCAGGACACTGGCACGTTCTCCTCTGGTTTCAAAGGCTCAGCCTCTGCCAGTCCGCCAGCACGCGGACTCTTCCGAAGAGCCCACGAAGGAGCGTGTGCTGGGCCACCGGCCTGGAACGACCAAGCATGGTGCACGAACTTCTCTCCTGCTCTTCTGACTCCCCACTATGGCGCTGACTGAATTTAAAGGGCTCCGAGACACAACCACATCCAGGGACAATGTCCCCAAGCAGACGCCTCGGTCAGAGCACGGAGTTTCTGCTCATTCCTACCTGCGGTCGCTTCAGAGCGGCACCAAATTTTAATTCCTCTACTTGCCGCTGCTTGATAGAGACCTTTGTCCTTCCTTTTCCGTTAGCCATTTTAACTCCCCTCAATCCTGGTACGTGTCTCCAGGATTGCGCATTTACTCATGCTCGCCCTGTCCTCTTTCCCAGAGGCCAGCAGAGAAGCAAGCAACTCGTGACGCCCCAGTTACAGCTCGGCCGTGCACCACACGCTGTTCAGAGTGCTAACCGCTGCGAGAAACCCAGTCCGGGCGCCGCCACAGGAAAAAGCCACAGATGCAGCATTAACAGCACGGACAAGTACTGTTCAGAAAGGGTCTCTTACAGTTTAGTGATTAGAAACCAGCAATTAGGGCGCCTGGGTGGCTCAGTGGGTTAAGCCGCTGCCTTCGGCTCAGGTCATGATCTCAGGGTCCTGGGATCGAGTCCCGCGTCAGGCTCTCTGCTCAGCGGGGAGCCTGCTTCCCTCTCTCTCTCTCTCTCTCTGCCTGCCTCTCCGTCTACTTGTGATCTCTCTCTGTCAAATTAAAAAAAAAAAAAAGAAACTAGCAATTAAAATCATAAACTGACTAGGACGGAGTGGAAAATGTCAGAAGAACTCAAACACAGGGAGGCTGAGACCCTGTGACATGTCAGTCCCAGTCACACGTGCTCACGTCCACACGCGCGAGCGCGCACACCGTGCTCCTACTCCCTCCCGTGAGCCGGGGTCAGGAGGGTTGGGATGTCAGCGCTGCGGGCTAGCCGACTCGAGGCTCGGTGTCCCCCACTGCAAAGAGGGAGAGCAGCAGCTACCGCACGATGCTCTGGGGAGGCGCAACGGGAACACAGATTTACACCGACGACACACTACAAACTGTACCAGAACTTCGCAAGTTCTCTCATTCAACAGAATGCCACTCGGGAAGGTCTGGAGAAGGCAAGGGGCCACGAGAATCCCAAGGGACGAGCACTGCACGCGGAGGGAAGAGCCCGTCAGGGCAGGGCTGGAGCAGAGAGCCGCTAAGACGCTGTGGGGCTGAGTGAGCACAGGAAAACCGAGCTCTCCACCACAGGTGAAATGGGCAGTCGCTGGAAGATTCTGGCAGGAAAATGACAAGGACCCGAACTATGTTTCTAAAGGATCACTCAATCTCCGATGCTGAGAATGCATCAGAGCAGGCAAGGGACGGTGGAAGCTGGGAGACCACCTAGGAGCCTGCAACACGGCAACTGAGACAGGACTGCGGTCCAGACCAGCTAGGAGTCTACTGCACCGGTCCAGCCAGCCACAATGACCCGGTGGTACCTGGACCGAGGTGGCGGGGGAGGCCAAGGCAGTTATCTGGATTTCTAATGGACTGACCTGAGTGGGTAAGAAGGTGAGGCATTAACGAGAGCTCTAAGATTGTACTGGAACCGCTGAAGGGTGTCCTTACTTGACATGAAGCTTGGGGGGAAAACTGGTTCAGCTCTCTTTCAGGAATTCGGTTTGGTGTCTAAATGTGAACAGGCACCTGCTCGATAACGTACGCTTTTTTTTTAAACGCCCCCCCCCCCTTAAAATATTTTATTTATTTATCTGACAGAGATCACAAGTAGACAAAGAGGCAGGCAGCGAGAGAGGAGGAAGCAGGCTCCCTGCTGAGCAGAGAGTCCGATGAGGGGCTCGATCCCAGGACCCTGAGATCATGACCTGAGCCGAAGGCAGAGGCTTAACCCACTGAGCCACCCAGGCGCCCCTCGATAACATACTCTTTCCGGGTCCCCCTTCTTGCTTCTCTCCCTGCCACCTTTCCTGTGCTTCCCGGGATCACCTCGCAGATGAACGCCGACTCTGAACCCGTGGCTCAGGGTCGGCTTTTGGGGGACTCCAAACGAAGACACACAGGACACCTGGAGGCACAAGTGCGGGCAAAGGGGGTGTGTGAGGACGACACCAGGAGGACCGCCGCATCCCTGGCACGGAGCACACGCGACCGCACATGTCGCCCGCAGCCTTCTGCCGTGTGCCCAAATGGCGCTTCAGAGAAATTTCCTCCTCCTGCTTTCCTCAAGCTCCCGTGACCCCTGCCTGCGTTCTGAACCACTGCTTCTAGTCCCTGGAACCCCGGGCTCCCGTAGTCTTTGAATGAAGACATTTGGGAATTGGGGAAAAATCAGTCACTCAGAGGTGGGCTGTATGGGAAATCGTTGCTGTCCCTGAAAACTGCTTAAGGCGACTCATTTGGCTCCGCTCAGAGTCCTCAGCGAGACGGCCTGCTCGGAGAGGGGCCAAGCCCGTCAGATTCCGGACACGCGGGTGCGGGTGACGCCACAGAGGCGCCCGTGACGCTCGGCCCGGCACCAACTGCCACCCGGCACCTGCGGCCATGCGGGCGCCTCCTCGACCCCGCACCGCCGCTGCCATCCTCACCCCCGCACCGAGCGCTCCGGCCACCCTCGCAGGCACGCACCAGGATCACTACAGAGGTGAGACACCCGGGGCCAGAGGGTCAAGTGACTTGTTCAAGGTCCCATCGAAGGCAAGCGGCGAAGCAAAACTCAGGCCAGGGGCCGCGGCTGCGGGGAACCGGCTCACGAAACCCCCGATTCTCACCTGTTTTAACGACGAATACCGGGACCTCGGACCTGCACAAGCCCACGCACCGCAGGCCGAGCCGCCCTCACCCAGAAGTGCGTGTTGCCCCCGAGTCCGCCCCCCACTCCTTTTCCATTGCTCATCTCCACCTGACTCATCAGGGCAGAGTCCCTGCTGTCGCCGTAGTCATAGTGAGAGCCCCCGGCGCTCTGAAGAGGAAAGTGGGTGACATGCGGACTGGAGAGCCGTTGGCGATGGACAGAAAGAGCTCAGCGGAAACCCCCCAGGAAAGCCGGACTGACACCCGGCCGGCGCGCGGCCGCCGCATCCCCGTTCACACAGATCCCCCGGGGCTCGGCCTGAATCCTTCCCATCCCATGCTGTTTCCTGAAGTTTCAAAATGAGAATCTTTACGGTTAGCAACTCGCAGACCTCACAGCTCCACGGAGAAGACCTTCAAATCGGTGTTTGTCTCCAGTCCTGGCTCTGTCCCCTATTAGGTGCGCAACCGGGTAAGATCACTCGACCTCTCTGAGTCGTAGCTCCTCAGCCTGTCAGCTGAGCGAACCCTACTCGCCACACAGGACTTTCACGGGGAGCAGGACGCGCGGCGCCTGCCAGCTCGTGTACGCAGTGCCTCCCACACGGCGGGCGCGTGCTCCGTCCTTCCTCTCCTGGAGGTTTCTGGTCCCGAGTGTTATCCATCGTAAGAGATGCTGGTGGTGGGACAGGAGGGGGCCGGCTGGCTGCCGGTCGTCCAGCCACACACGCCGCCGCGGAAGGACAGACACACACCCATCAGACAGGATGATGGATACAGACGATGCTACGAGCATGCGGACTTCGGGAAGCAGTGACTTTGGCCGGGTGGTGGGAGGGTGGGTGAGCGCGCGGTGGGGACATCAGGGAAGACTTGGGACTCACCGCTCACTGGACTACTGCAACAGTGAAGGGTCCATTCTTCCACTCCCACGACAGATCCCTTTCAGAAACACACATCCGATGGCACCAGGGCTTGGAAACTCCTACTAAATGCTTACGCGGGCCCCCAGTTCCAACTCCCTAGCACAGCCACAAAGCCCTTCGCCACTGAACCGCAGAAAATTATTTTATACCAATTTTATACCAAAATTATTTTATACCAATTTATTATATATCAAATTCCTCAGGTACTAAATGCCAAGAGAAGCAGGGATTCGTAACTTAATAGAAATTAATTGAATGCAAATAATTTCCTCTTTACACCAATGTTACATCAAGGAACTAAGATTTTTTAGGGGATGGAGGGAAGGTAGACAGTTTTGGAACACAGAGCATTCCGGTGACATGTGCAGAAAAAAACCAAGCACAGCTAAGCACTGGGATAAAAAGGGCACCGGGAGGTAAATGAGGGGCCCAGGAAGGGAGATGCGAAGGGACCAAGATAACGTCACTGACTTTCAAACTTTGGAGAGTAAAACTCAGGCCGGTGTCAGAGCTAAGGCACACTGTGAGTCAGACTTGCTCCAAGACCGGCCCAGAAAACCCTTGGCACCACTTCCACAGGAAAACGTCTGCTTACATCCAGAACATGAGCCTAAAACCGAATTCCACACACGCCACCCTTGGGAACGTTGGACAGTGCGGACAGTCCCAGCTGTTACACCACCGAAAAGGGGGAGCTCGTCACAAAGCCAACACCTCGTCGGAAAGCAAAGCACCCACGTGACTTGGAGCACACGCACACCGATCCCCCAAACCCTCACATCTGGATCCAGGCCTGACGCTCCCTCGATTTCGTTATTCGAAGGAGACGAGAAGTGCTGCTCTAAGTCAGGTCTGATCATTCACTGGGGACAGCGCAGACTTCGTCTACCGCTTCTCAGATTTCGAAGCCAGCCTTCCTCAGTCCCATCACCCCGGGGCAGGAGTGTCAGCC